CGAATTTTGGAGTAACTTTTAAAAATTACCGGGTTTTAAAGACACAGCTAAAATCACGTTTCCTTGGTTACAGAATATTCTACATGTCTAGATTTTCCTTATGTCAGTATCATTGTATCAGTTATTAGCTACAATTTGGTAAGGGGTAGGGATGTATTTTACAATGAAAACTGACATCAGTTGAATGGATGTCGTCTGAATTTTTTTTTTTAAATTGTTAACGGTAAAAATTTGGAACTGTGTAGCGAAAAAAAAACATATTTTAAACCAATTAATTTTATATATATATATATATATATATATATATATATATATATATATATATATATATATATGACCGTCATGAAAAGACAAAATTTATTTTTATTACCACTCATGATGATAATAGATAAAAAGTAAAACTGAAAACAATATAACACATTCTTACGCAGGTTCTCCTTTTTCCCTTAGTGAATCAAAGTGGAACAGGAAACAATATCAGGTAATCAAAGCAATTCGTAATAATAAATCATTGGTGATTACGAAACCCGACAAAGATTCTGGTTTTGTCATTCTTGATTATCAATATTATGTTAACAAGATGTTGACTATTCTTGGGAATTTCTCTAAATTCGTCCAGTTAGGCCCAATAGATAAATTTGATTCTACATTAACTATTAACATTAACTTCCAAAAGCGTTTAGTTGTGGGTTAAAAGTGGGCAATTGCCCACTGACATTTCTAATTTAATTTTAATTAGACCCTCGGGTTCCATTCGTGCCCGTCTCTATGGTTTACCCCAAACTCATAAGGTTAGTGTTCCATTGAGACCTCTCCATAGGGTCTTTCCAATATGGCGTGGCTAAATGGTTTTCCACCATATTACAGCCAGTTTTGGAACAGTATAACTCTTGCCTGTATTAAAGACTCGTTCGAATTCTCTCATTTTATGCAGTGTTATTCGCCGATGGATAAATTTATGTGTTCCTACGACATTTCCAGTCTACTTACCTGCGTTCCACTTGCTGAGACTATCGATATATGTGCTGATGCCCTGTATCGTAGTCAGTTGTCTCCTCCTATTATTCCTGAAGACGTTTTCGTCGAACTGATGAAATTTGTCACGATGTCCGTTGAATTTAGTTTCAACAACGTCATGTATAGGCAAGTTGATGGTGTTTCGATGGGTTCCCCCTTGGGACCCATTTTAACAAATATCTTGTTTGCGCGAAGAGAGTGTGTTATTGAAACCTAATAAACCTGAGGTTTACTTCCGTTACGTTAATGATACCTTTTGTCTTTTTGATAACGAGATTGAATTGAACCATTTTCTTTCGTCCCTTAATAATATGCACCCAGCTTTAAAATTTACACAAGAAAAGGAAATTGATTCTTTTCTTCCTTTTCTTGATGTTTTGGTTAACAGATCTTCGTCGGGTTTTGTTACATTTGTTTATCGTAAACCGACATTTACTGGTTTATATACCCATTGGAATTCTTTTTATCTCGTAAAACGTAAAATTAATTTAATTAAAACTCTTACCCATAGGGTTTTAATGATCTGTTCTAAGATTAAGATGGCTGATGAACTCACCACTACTCTCTGCAACAATGCCTATCCATTGGGCATTGTTCAATCAATAATTAAGAATAAAATTGCTGAATTCAATAAAGTTAAACCTTCTATAGTAAAAAGATGTCCTGTGTCCTTACGCCTTCCTTGGCTGGGTAATATCAGTGATAGATATGCTAGACAGGTTTCCGTAACAGTTCGACATTGTTACTTTGCTGCTTACACTCGTGTTGTTTTCTCTGCAAATCTTGTCCATACCGAAGGACGTTCTCCCTCCACATCATAATAATTCTTTAATTTATTCCTTTTAAATGTAGTTGTGGCTCACTCTACATAGGGAGAACGACTCAAAGACTGGATGTCAGAAAAAAGCAACGCGTTCCAACGAAAATCCGCCATCTTAAGTACACTCCTTCAGACATTCTGACCAATACGTATGGGTCTTCGATCGCAGAGCATCAAATAAATAACCATAATTGTGCTACTAGTTTCAGTGTGGACTCATTTACCATTCTTAAGTACACTCCTTCAGACATTCTGACCAATACGTATGGGTCTTCGATCGCAGAGCATCAAATAAATAACCATAATTGTACCACTAGTTTCAGTGTGGACTCATTTACCATTCTTAAGTACACTCCTTCAGACATTCTGACCAATACGTATGGGTCTTCGATCGCAGAGCATCAAATAAATAACCATAATTGTGCCACTAATTTCAGTGTGGACTCATTTACCATTCTTAAGTACACTCCTTCAGACATTCTGACCAATACGTATGGGTCTTCGATCGCAGAGCATCAAATAAATAACCATAATTGTACCACTAATTTCAGTGTGGACTCATTTACCATTCTTAAGTACACTCCTTCAGACATTCTGACCAATACGTATGGGTCTTCGATCGCAGAGCATCAAATAAATAACCATAATTGTGCTACTAGTTTCAGTGTGAACTCATTTACCATTCTTAGCAAGTCCCACTCGAATTATCACTTAAAAGTGTTGGAGGCCATTTATATTTTATCTTTGAAACCCTCTCTGTGTAAACAGAAGGATTTCAAACTGAGCCTCAAACTAATTTCCATTTAAGCACCCCCCAATACATATTGTCTATTTCTTTTTAGTTATTCTATTATAATTCATTAACCTCGATTTAACTCTGGTGAGCGAGGTTCGAAACTGGTTTGCTAGATCGTTTTTCATTTTTACCTATTATTATCATGAATGGTAATAAAAATAAAATTTGTCTTTTCATGGCGGTCATAAAATTTTGTACCACAAATCATATCTTTAGATATATATATATATATATATATATATATATATAGTGTGTGTATGTGTGTGAGTATGTGATGGATAAATTGTCGTCTAAATGACGCAAAGATGAAAGTAACACTGGCGTCTTATTTTAGCAGATATATTTACCAAAATTACACAAAAATATCTGTGAAATACCAAAAGGTAAATTTATTCAATAAAATCGCCATTGACTTCAGCCACGGCCTCCAGACGACTTCGGCATCTCCTGCAATTCTTCTGGGTGGTTTCCTTGTTTAAGTTCGTGAATGCTGCCATAATCCTTGCCTTCAGTTCATCTTCGGTGTTACGAGAAGTTTTGTTGGTCTCTCGCTCAACTGCGCCCCACATATAATAATCAAGGGGGTGCAGACTGGGGAGTTAGGTGGCCAGATGTATGGGGTGACGTTGTCGCAGAAATTCTTTGACAGTCATGACTGGGTTCTCCTGCTTTTGTTGCATAGTGCAGACATAGGGTTTCCAACAGCCATCCAGGGCAGCACTATCTCCTCAAGGTATTTTGATATAGGCCTCCGTGTTGAGTCTGAAGTCCTGTAGGAAGATGAATAGAGTTATAACATCGCCACCACTAGTAATCACTCCAAATACTTGCGTAATCACCATTAAACTCATCCAACTCTTTCCGAATCCTCTGAACTGTCTTCAGATTGACACCCAAATACTGAAATCTTCATATTGGGGCTTCCGGCGCGAATGCCTCGCAGTACAACGTATCGTTTCCAAATTTCTGGTCGAGTGAATTGCATCATGGTGTTCATTTTCTCATAGACAGTGTTCAACTGATCTTACTATACTGTACAGTCGACATAATTAAAAACAAACAACGAGCATGCGCGAAATTAAAAAATATAAAATGGCGGCAATTTACCCATCGCAACTTGTATTCATTTAAACAAGTTTTGTTAAATTTGACAAAGTTCGTTTGTTTAATTTTTATAGTATTTCTACAATTTTTGAATAAGTTGTGCATCAAAATGAAAATTATGGGAGAATTGTGCAAACAGGCAACAACGTATGTCGCAATTGGTTGATTTTAACAAATCTTCTGCCTTTTTCGTTTGGTTTGGTTTGGTTTATTTTGTTTTACGGCATATCAACCTCAATGGGTTATTTAATGTCAACAAATTTTTTTTATTGCTGGTAATATTTTGTTTTGTCAAAAACATGTTTCAGGCAATATTTTCCCTTCAAAATTGTATTGCTGGTAATAATTTTTTTCAAAAAAGTATTGCTGGTAATAGTTAACTATTTGCCCATAGCTGGGACCCTAACAGGTGCTACCACACCGGGTCAGGGTGGACCTGGGAACACCAGCAATTAAGAGGTGGTTCCACGTCCCTCAAAACCTTCTGATCAGAAGCTTTACTGCTGGATGTAGTTTATCGTCTTACCCAGGACGTGGATGTAGTTTAATGTCTTACCCAGGACAGTCTGCCTTTTTGGATCATGTTTTTTTTTTTTATTGTCTTTTCTACTATATGAGATTTTATCAGTTTCTTTCCTTCTCAGTAACGCTTTGCGTCTTAATGGCTTTATCGCCTTGCTTGCAGGTGAAATGATTAATATATATATATATATATATATATATATATATATATATATATTTATATTTATATATATATAAAATCGCACATTGAGTGCTGATGTTAATAAAGTTCGTGCTATCACATTCTGTTCTCTCTCTCTCTCTCTCTATCTATCTATCTATCTATCTATATCTATCTATATCTATCTATCTATCTATCTATCTATCTATATATATATATATATATATATATATGTATGTATGCATGTATGTATGTATATAAAATTTCAACAACCGCAAGCACTCGTCGTCACCAAAAACAAAAAGTGTTTTTTTCTAATCTTGCAAAGTCGCGTATTTTTCTCTAATAATTTAAACTGAAGCCGATATATTTCAAGTCTCATCTGTCGAGTCGGCAATTGGCTTTCGGGCGATTCCAAATTTATGCTTTTAAGATCTTCGCTGCACAAGAACACAAATATCACAGGAAGATTCTTGAAAAGTACTTGAAATGTCCACTTCTTCAATTTTTTAAGAGAATATTTTTTTGTGTTGCCTTCGGAGAGGGACATAAGAAAATGAAAAACAAGTGATTTTTTTCTTTTAAAGCTGATGAGACTGTTTTAAAATGGACTTTTTGATTGGATCACAGGCCTCGGGGTCTACAACAGTTAACCGAACTGAAAAAAATAGATAGATAGATAGATAGATAGATAGATAGATAGATAGATAGGATACTCTTATATACGTAGCAAATGGATTATAAATATATATATATATATATATATATATATATATATATATATATATATATATATATATATGTGTGTGTGTGTGTGTGTGTGTGTGTGTATAGGAGGAGGTGCTGTAAAGTTCTTAAAACTGATGTTTGGCCATTGGTTTTCATTTCAGTGCTCATATTAATATTAATGTTTCAATCTGATATGGCCGTATACAGATAGATAGATAGATAGATAGATAATGAACAAATTGATCTAGTAAGTAGGTATGTAGTAGATAGATAGATAGATAGATAGATAGATAGATAGATAGATAGATAGATAGATGTGAGCAGATTGAAATAGATAAATTGATATGAACAGACCAAGATAGATAGATAGCAGACAGACAGATAGAGTATTTTTTTGGTCACATGGTCATGTTTTGATGTTGTAGGCTATTTATATTCTGTTCTAATGTTCCACTTTGGCCAGCGTACCCTGACGATCCGCGTAGGTGAAACCTTTAGGTTCATACTTAAATAGATAGATAGATAATGAACAGATATAGATAGATAGATAGATAGATAGATAGATAGATAGATAGATAGATAGATGACAGAAAAACGAGAAGAAAGACAAGAAAAAGGAAGGAAAACACAGTGAAAGAAAGTAAATAGGAGGAAGATGCTATTTTCGATTAAGAGTGACATAGAAAGAGATATGGAACAATAATAAGAGAACAAGACATAAATATATAGGGACGATAGAATCTCACCATCCATGGAATCACTAACCGCGATTTCATTTATTCGCGGTCTCATTTATCCGCGGTTACACTTATTTGCGGTTGGTCAAAGCAGCAAAAAGTTAAGTTTGCAAAATATATTTCACATGAGTAAAATCGAGAAGTATAAACAGTCAATTACTGTTACTCCCTACGGTGTCATTCCTGGAGGGTCCGTCAACGAAACTCCGGAGTCGAAATGATGAAGGTAGCATCAATCAGTTAAGGGATAAACCTTTTACTTGTATTCTCTCTCTCTCTCTCTCTCTCTCTCTCTCTCTCTATATATATATATATATATATATATATATATATATATATACAGGGTGATTGAAAAATAACTCCCTATTTTATGTATGAGTGGCCACCCAGGAGTCCTGACTTAACACCCTGTGACTTTTTTCTTTGGGGGTTGGTTAAAGGATCATGTCTACTACTATACCAAACCAAGACTTTGGAAGAACTTTGGCGAACACAAGAAGTTATGCCTTCCATACCACAAGAGTTCCTGGAGAAATCAGAAGGCGCGATTCTTGGGCAGCCGAGAAGCTGGTAGCGAAATCTGGTGCCCCGTTTTAAATAAAACCTCATGGTAAACACATTCCTTTCACATCCATTTTAAGCATTTTAAAATAGGGAGTTACTTTTCAATCCTCCTGTATATATATATATATATATATATATGAAAGTGGACATTAAGGCCAACAACCAGCGGCGACAGTTTGTTTTATGCTTAAACTTCGTCGTCAAGCCATATATATTTACATACGCTTTTATCCCTGAGCACGTTAACTCATAAATATAGCATACCTTAAAACTATATTATTTTATATATATATTACATAGAATATCGTTTTATTACCACCAGCGCTAACTGTACGCTATTTCCGTATGACGTGTTTCGTCATTTAAGACTTCATCGTATTTACGATGGTACGACTACGCATGCGCACTAAGGAAAGAGGAACATTTATATTAAATTTGATTTCATATATGTTTTGGTTACATAATCTAGCCGATTTCATTCAGATTCTTTTTGTTTATCTTTCCATTAGATGAATATGTTTAGAATGTGTTTTAATCGCTAGATCATCCACATTAAATTTGCATCCGGGTTCTTACAACGTTTACCGTTCTTGGTAGACCTTCTATGATGATTTACATTCTCCAAGGACTCCTGCTTTTAATTATTAAAATAAATTTTGCGATTAGAATTTAATTTTTCGAAATTTCATGAAATTAAGTAAGTCGGTGGAACATATGTAAAAAAAAAACTTACCAAGATTTTCTAAAAAACAAAAATTTTAAATAATTCATTTGTGAATAAGTCCTGAAAGTTTCATTAAAATCCGATAATTATTTGATTTTTGTAAGAATTTCCAAATCAATTTGTTTGTCCCGTTAAAAACAAGCGTAAATATTACGTCGACCGTTAGTGCCAGAAAAAAAAAAAAGCAAAAAACAAAAAGATTTTTAACCAAAATTTCGAACGTGCTAGAAAGGATTTAAAAATTTAATAGAATAATAAAGAAATGCCTTGGTCTTTTCTCTAAATAATAACAAAGCATTTTGATGATGAAACATTGTTTTTTTTTAAGTCTGTTTTTTTTTTCATCATGCTATGCTGTTTTTTTTGTTTTTTGTTTTTTTCAGCGAATTAGTGGAGGTGCCTATAGATTCTATTTTCACAATGTGGTATATTTAATGACTAAAATGATGGAAACATGGAACGGTTTATGTGAGAGAGAAAAGAAAAAGTTGAAAACGGAAAAAAAATTCGTCGAAGTGAAAATATGTTATAAATTGTTATTGAGAGTCAGCGAGGCCGAGATGAATATAGTGACGAAGTAAAGCGAATAACAAAACGCGCATCGGTGTGATTGACTCAAGAGAAATGTTCTAGAAAGCAGAAAAGATCTTATTCGATCGAGAAATTCTGCTATAATAAAACGAGAGGTGAGTTTGACGTCGGCGGAACGGTAAGCGAAGAGGGAAGGATCGCTGTGACATTTTGGTCGATATAAAATAGCTGAACACAAGCGAGGACATTTGTGTAGGCGAACAGATATAGGGATACCCGTAAATATAGGCACAGGCGCTCACACATTCACAACAAAGAAAGCCACTTATTCATATAAACGATAAAGATGGAGATATACAGACTTCTACATCTGCCTGAATATGTTTGTATCTACACCTGTTCATATCTATCTATCTATCTATCTATCTATCTATCTATCTATCTATCTATCTATCTATCTCAATCTGCTTATATATATATCTGTCTGTCTGTTTGTCTGTCTGTCTCTATCTATCTAAGTTTATTGATATCTATCTATCTATCTATCTATCTATCTATCTATCTATTTCAATCTGCTTATATATATCTGTCTGTCTGTCTCTATCTAAGTTTATTGACATCTATCTATCTATCTATCTATCTATCTATCTCAATCTGCTTATATATATATATATCTGTCTGTTTGTCTGTCTGTCTCTATCTATCTAAGTTTATTGACATCTATCTATCTATCTATCTATCTATCTATCTATCTCAATCTGCTTATATATATCTGTTTGTCTGTCTGTCGCTATCTATCTAAGTTTATTCATATCTATCTATCTATCTATCTATCTATCTATCTATCTATCTATCTATCTATCTAGTTAAGTAGGAATATGTATATCGTCATAATTATGAACACAAAACATACGTACTTCATTAAAATCACAACAATTTTATTAACATGGCTAATAATATCTCTTTGTAATTTACGCAAAAGTCTGATTTTTTGCAATTATTATTAAACAATATATGATGATTAATGTTGTCCTCCTCTCTCTCTCTCCGTGTGAAGCCCTTTCATGATATTGGCGTCCATAGCTCTCCACAGCATTCTGTTCTTTGTTGCTCACATCAGTGCATTCCCCGCTGTCTTGTTCTCCCATTCATTTGCGCACACTTAGCTAAGCTATTTTTTGTCGCTTGCCTTCAATGTACCTTATGAGTGTTAAATTTTCTAAGCTTTCCTTCTTCATTATATTTTCAAAAAAATGTCAGCTTTCTCTCATTTTTTATTGTTAGTAATAATTTATTTGTAGATTTTATTCTCCTTAAAATTTTTCACTTGCCACAGGCTTTGTACGTGATGTTTTTGGTACCCTCAAAAATTGTCGCTTGAAGGTTTTACAAACTTTACCGTATATTTCTGCTTATAAGATGACCCTTAAATTCCCAAAATCACCATTAAAAATGGGGGTCGTCTTATACAACAATTCTAAAAAAATAAACCTTATATTCTATGTTTGTTAACCTCGGCCTCGGTGCGATAACCAATAATGTACATGAAAAGATTCACATTATCAAATAAACTGATAATAAAAGTAATAGAACCATTTCTGCCTTATATATTAATAGCATAACTTCATAATAAATTGCCTATTTGTATATTAATTCTATATCAATGATTTCAACTTGTGTCCAATTCAAGCTCAGTTGAGAAAATGTAAACATCGAGTTATGATTGCATTCAAAGCAATGAAATGTACTATTATCGTACATTATAGTACTGTAATTAGCAGTATTTTGTGATTGTTGTCGATGAAGTATAAGTAAATGGCCATTAGTACACCAGGCTGTTTGTGACTGTTTAGATATAGAAGAAGAAAAAGAATCAGTATTCACAAGAGATGAAACAAACACAACATTGGTTTCCTTTTTAGGGGACATGTGTAGGAAAAACACAATATAGAATCGGTTTTGTTGTTTCGTTTATTTTGAATTTTTAAGTTGTCTTATACTACAGGTATAGGATAAATTCATGAAAATTTGCTATATTTTTGACCTTGTTTTATGTAAAGGTCGCCTTATACACGGAAACTTATGATAAATGTTTTAATTTTTAATTATTCCCGATATTTTCTTGTTTTGCATTTCAGAAAAAATATAAAAAAAGAAAATGAATAGGCGAAAATCAGATTCAGAATGTGAAGTGTGGCGCTGTGATTGAATATTTGCCTCTCGAATAGATAGCTAGAAAAATGTCAAGTATGAATTCTGTCCTTAACGACAGAATTTATGCTTGACATTGTCGAGAAAAGAAATTCTTTGAAGACGAAACCCGGTCAGAACGACCTGTGGAAGCAAACTTTGTTGAAAAATAAAAGGATTTCTTTAAAATAAAAGCAAACAAAACAAAAGTATTCTTTTTTTTCTCTTTCTGCTTAATGTCTACTGTAGGATCCATATTTAATTTGTTTGAAGCACTAGTCAGAAAGGAGTGTTGCATGATGCAAAACACGTGATAGTGTCAAGTAAGAAGACAACGGATGTAAAAGAATTTCCCAAACCAGCGGCGTGTAGAATAACTTCCTAAACCAGCCCTATATATTGATTTTCCAAGCGTAGCTTAGATGTGGCACAAGGCCGAAAGTATGAGGCACCCAGTGAGGATCGAACTCACTATCAGTCGTAATTGTTCTAGCGAGACAAGCTTGCTAACATTACATCGCCTTGGGATGCCCAAACCAGCCTTATATAGTAAAACTTCCTATATCAGCCGTATGTAGAAATTATTATATCGGCCGCATTTGTATTTGCTTTGTCTCATTTGCATATCTTAACTAAAAATGATCTTTCTCACGTTAATCATGATAAACAGGTGATGTTCTTTTTACATTTCTATCAATGAGGGATTGATTTTTCTAATTTGTACCTTTTCCTAAGGCTTCTAAACAATGTACTACAGTTAAATGATAGTACAAACAATAAGTTATTGGGTAAATTTCTACAGCACTTCTAAGATTTTTCTAACATGCTTTTTGCATCAATCTAGGAAAAATCCAACAAAGGATCGATAAATGAGTGAGGTTTAAAGTTCCATCAAAAACATCCTTTCCATTAATGATGTCAAACACAGGTCTGGTGCGTACTACCACCGAGCTTACGACCGGGAGGGTTCAAGCCTGATTGTGGGCCCCGGGCAGTGCTTTTGTGTCCCTTGCTTTTTTCTACCTACATTTATATATGTTACAAAT